TTTTTATTCTGAAAGTATTTTTAAATAAAATTTTACCAAATAATTTGTACTTTTCAAAAATAGAACTTCTATAACAAATTATTTCAAATAGGACTTTTATCAAAAATTTCAATCACATCAAACGGACTTAGCTTAAGAACCTGAAATGCATATTATATTACTATTGCGGGTGAATGATATTAATTTTGAAGTGTTAAAGTATAGCAATGATAAAAAATAAATACAGCAAAATTAACAGTTATTACTTATAGTTCATCAGAAACCAGAGCCTGGATCTCTTCCTGCCAATTGCCAATTGATTGTACAGAACTCTGCATTTCAAAAGGGCTCAATTTCAGGCATATATACCTAAAAATCAATTTATCTATAATGGGGAAAAAAAAGTATAAAGCCCTAATGAAAATTAAAAGAAGTTCTTAGTCAAAAAACTTACTAGGGATTTATTAGAGCTGAGTTCTTTACTATTACGGTGATTTCGACAGGAACTCTCTTTGCTATTCACTTCAATCTTAAAAATTGTTTTCTTTTTAGCAACTAAAGCAATAAAGGATTGCAAATGATAGAAAAGAAAATGAAATGAAATAAAATGTGGCTGTCTAGGTAGGAAAAAAAAAAAAAAAACCTGAAAGAGTGGAAACAGGCGGTAGAGGGCTGACGAAGTGTTCTCCAATGGTCAAGTCAGCAAAGCAAAGGCACATGTTACAAAAATATAAGATTTCAAATTGATAACAGATTCACTATATGAAGTAAACATGCTTCAAAGAAACAAGAGTAGAAATCCCATTAACATAACTTGCTTAATTGATGACAACTTACAACACAACAAATTACCAAAAGAAATAAAACCAAGTTCATCCAGTTAAAAATAATACATAAATTGAAAAAAAAAATATTTTTTATTGTCAACGAAATCAAAGACTACTGGCTGTGGGTGAGTCCCGCTTTCTTTTGCTTTTCTGTTTGGACAAGAGCAGTTGCCTTGTAAAATGTTAAAATATTATCTGAAAGAGTGGAAACAGGCGGTAGAGGGCTAACGAAGTGTTCTCCAATGGTCAAGTCAGCAATGCAAAGGCACATGTTACCAAAATATAAGATTTCAAATTGATAACAGATTCACTATATGAAGTAAACATGCTCCAAAGAAACAACAGTAGAAATCCCATTAACGTAACATACTTAATAATTGATGACAACTTACAACACAACAAATTACCAAAAGAATTATATAGAACCAAGTTCATCCAGTTAAAAAAAGTACATAAATTGAAAAAAAAAAATAAGATTATTGTCACGTGAGTTCCGTTTTCTTTTGCCTTTTTTTTTTCTTTTTTTGGGACAAGAGCAGTTGCCTTGTAAAATATTAAAATATTATCATTAAAAATATTGATTTGATTTAATTTAATTAATAAAATTAATGAATAATTATAATTATTAATTAATATAAAATTAATATTTATTAATTAATAAATTAAAATTAATCAATAAATTAATATTTTTAAACACTATTTATAAAAAAAATAAAAATTAATAACTTTAACAGTTCTTATAATGATAATAATCACATTCTTTTCCCCAATAATTTTGAGAAAAAAAATTTAATTTTTATTACTCTATTTATTTGAAATAATAAATTATACTTTCTGAGTTTTTGACTTTTGTAAAAGCAAGATAATGACCTAAAAAAAACATGAAAAATAGTGCTCAGAAAGGGTCTAAAATACACAGGTAAAAAGTGTGTCATCAAATATTCAAAAAGGAGGTTTAGATAGATCACAAAGATTTTTACAACTGCTCAACAAATATGCATACATAATCTCATTCCATGTATTAAGTAGTCCCAGTAAGAACCAATGAAAACACAATTAGCAAAATCTTTAGGGCCAAATCTTTGTTTCCTCTCAAGAGTTTTTCCCTTTTGTTCACCATAAGGCATAAACAGATACGAACATGTTTTTGATATTTTGACAATTGTGTATCTGTTCAAAACAGTAATGTTAGATCTTTAGTTCTTGTAAGATGTTGCGAACCGTCACCATGATGGGAAGATGAGATCCAATTCCCCAGTATGATGCTTCCATCTTTCCCCTTTGATGCATGCTGCAGTAGCATTTATGTCATTCCAGAAAAAGCACAGAACCAATCCTGCAGAAGGAAAAAAAATACATTTACCAATCATAACATATATCAATAGAGGCTTTGATCGATAACTATAAATAACATCATGTATCCAATTGCATGAATTCAATCAATAAATATAATCTAACAAAATGCAAGGCTAAAATAACCACAATGAAAAGTAAAAATGCAAAAAGCTTGCATACCTAAGAATGATGGAAGGGCAATAAACATCAACTTTTGTCAATAAATGAGCATATCATTGGCAATATCATTATGAACAACTGGGGCAAATGGTGGCCAATCTGCAGAACAAAAAATCACAAGGCAAGTTCTAGATTGTCATGGCATGAATGAAAGGCTAATTGACCATAAAAGGAAATAGAAACAGGCCACTACGTGGATATTATGAGTAATCAACAAACTATAGCATAAACTGCAAGTTACCTCTTGCTAAATCCTCTTCTTTCCTGCTTCACTTCCTGTGTTGTATATCCCAAAAGAAACAGATGAGTGAAACTTGTAAAAGTCTGCATGTTTCACAAGTTCAATCTCCCTGATATACCTCCTGTTGCTGGTTAAGCTCAACTGCCATGGCCAATGTCCCTCCTTTCCCTCTTCAATTCCTAAGATAATTTGAACAGTGTAAATCAGAAAACCATAATCATTGCTTACTTTCATAAAACAAGTAAGAAGTGGCATGCAGGGAGATGGAATTAAATAAATACACTAACCTTAAAACTGGGTCTAGTAACTATAGCAAGAGAGATATCATGATTTGCATCACAACCATAGTTGAGAGCAACTAGTTCTGGAGGAAGAGGTGAAAGCCCTGAA